TGCACTGCCGAACTGTGGCGTAGACGCCCATCACAAGTGGTCTGACAACTGACAACCATCTCGCGTCGCTGCCCTTACCTAAAAATAACCCTCTGCGAGGTCCAATATCAATTATCATCCCGCCTGCCCAACCACCACAACAACAAGGATACGGGCCTATCTACAAACGCCTGCAAATGCAAACGGCGCTCCTATACACTTACATAACACATAAAATGATACAACACGAAAACATCAACCACTCCACCTTCACAGCCTGCGCAGTCGCTTGCCAGCCCCCAGCTCAATCGCCGTGCGGCTGTTGAGCATCACCTCCTCATTGCCCCCCTCGGGCGGGTGAGCTTGAATGTACTCCCGCCGTATGCGTGCTGCTTCCTTGTCCCAAGTAGCAACCCGCTCCTTGAACTCGACTGCACTTGCCGTCGCATCTTCTCGCGCGTTGCTAGCCTGATCCAGATATGGCTGCTTGACATGCTGCTCTGCCGTGCGCCATTTTAACCCTACTGCGTTGCGAATCTCTTGCTTTGGTGCTTTGGCATCAGCATTGCCACTCTTGACCCGGTGCGCCTCATCACACTCTTGCTTGCAAATATACCAAAAGTCTTTCGTGAACAACAGAAATGGGTTGACGCCTGCCCGCCCGGGCTTGATTGGTCGTTCGCCAATCTGCTCCAAAATGGCCCCAATAATGGCCGCTTCGTAGTCTTCATCGCGCTGCACACGCCCACTCTTGTTCTCTCGCCCTGGTCCCACAGCCGGTTCAAATCGCCGCTTCGACTCTGCTGTCGGCGTCGTCGAAAATTCGGCCTTGATCGCTTTCTTCTCCACAAGCGGACTGGCTATCTCAATCGGCCCTAGTACATTCTCGGCAACCTCAGCTGCCACTCGGAGGCCTGACAAGTACGCCCCGTGCACAGTCGCAGGATGTGTGCCGCATGTTGCTTCTCCAGCAAAATGCAGCGGGCCGTGTGGCCGTGCCATGACATCGTAGTCACCCGTCTGTGTCTTTGGTCCCACGTATGAGTAGCTGCCTCGAGCAAATGGATCCTTCTTCCACCGCGTCACAATCGCCTCAGACGGAAGTGGGACAGTGTTTGGCGCAAACATTGCGTCGAGCCGATCCGTCACTTCTTTGACAAGCTGGTCGTCTGACGTCGCCTCGGCGTAGTGCGCAGCATCGCCTGCCATGAGCGCTACTAGTACCGGCTTTCCGCTCGTCTTTATACAGTTCCAAAACAGATAGAACCGTCCTCGTTTCGAACAATACTCTTCTGGCCGCATACTGCCCTCGCGCTCAGCCTCGTTGAGCAGTCCAAACATGTCTCGATCCGGTTCCCAAAAGGCTTTCTCATACACGAGGATAATCTATTCATGTCGTGAGAAAGCGCACAGTCGGCAGAATAGAGAGACCCACCTTGTTCAAAAGTCCAAACCCCATGCGTTCAATCACATCCTGCTTCCAGCTAGGAAGTGGGGGCTCGAACTTGATAGATCCTGATTTCAGTACCCCCAGGGGTGTAGTGAGCACAACATGATCAGCTTCAAATGTTTCACCGTTGGTGCATTCGATTTTGACAGCCTTGCCGACTCGCTGTTCTTCCGTGTTGTAGTGGACAGTCTTGATAGCCGTGCTGAACCGTACGTCCAGCTTGCTAGGACATTGCCACAACCCGCGCGGGACCTGCTGATAACCCCCGATTACCTGACTATGCTCGCCTTCGAATTCATTCCCTATGTCCTGATCCCAGCCGCTCAAACTAAGCTGGTTCACACTCACAGCGTTCGCGTATTCGAGGTTGGCATGGTGCCAGCTGAGCAGGCGCATGTCTCTGGGTTTCAAGTCGACAAGTGACTGGTATTGTCGGAGTCCCTCATCCATTGTCTGCCCTAATGTCGGGTATTCGGATGCCTTTGCAATTGTATCGAGGTCCAATGTTTGGTCACCCGTCACACCATCCTTCAGTTTCCATCCCATATCTTGTACCGACTTTGCAGCTGTGACATCAGGATCGAAGCCAGCGCTCAACTGATATGCTCTGCCCGCTAGCTTTTCTATCCCGGTAGTCGGCTTCTCTTGCTTTGTTGATGCTGTGCTTATCGCGTCTGCTGACAAAGGGGCCTCAGACTCTTCTAACTCTGCAATGGTAGGCCCACCAACGTCAGCGGGCTCACGACCAAAAGCCATCAAGTTGCGATCACCCTCTACTGTCCTGTGGGCAGTAGGTTTGTTTCGAAATGCTGCCGCCCGTTCGAGTACATCGTTGTACAGCTTCTCCACCAGTATGTCTTGACTTCTCTCGACAACCGTGCCATCGTAATCGTAGAGTATCGTATTGTCTCGTAGACCATGATAAGGCAAACCCAACTGGCCTCGGATTATCGCATTCAACGGGTTGCCATGTTCGTATCCTGTAACAATCTGAGCACCCATCTCAGCTGTGCAACGATTTCCAGGTGGAAGTGTAGAGCCGGATTGATTCAAAAAAGGATGTGAATACACTCGACCACCCACACGTGGACGGGCCTCGAGGATGATAATCTTCGGTGGCCGCTCTCCCGCATCTGCTAGTTGATCTCCAAGTTGGGCAAAAATTCCTTCCAGGTGCCGAGCGCAACCTAGTCCCGACATGCCTGCACCAACTACAATGATTGTCCGCCTTGTCGAGGTCTTTGCTTTGCATTTCGAGGGAATACCAGCATTATTCGGTACTTCAGCGCAACCAAAGTTGATGTATCCATGTCTCATAAGCCATAGATATGCCACCTTTGCTAGTCCAAAGTAGCGCTTGTCACGGGCGCACCCTGCAGCTTCTTCGAGAGAGACGTATACCAGAGGGTTGCGATGCCACAAGCGCAGGATCGCATTTCTGATGTTCAGATAAATCGTGACCTGAGCGTGAGTGACATGCTCACGTAAAAGCTTGTACTCGGTGGGGTGCAGGGTGAATGGGTTGAGCCGGCTGTTTTCTGCTGCTAGAATGCACTGCCGGCCGAATTCAGGCCATGACACATCTGTAGGTATGCTAGAACTCGCTTTCATTTCGGCAGTCTTCCCTTTGACAGGGAGAGAATTTGTCCTGCGATGCTTCTTTGGTTGTTCGTGTGATTGCGGAAGCTCAGGAGTCGAAGATGCTTGTGATTCGCCACTCAGACTATGTGGTGTGCCCGCCATGAATGCGCCATCTCTCCGATGCTTTTTTGATGATGAATGAGCTTTCGTGCCGTTTTCGTTGATAGACGTATGTGAAGAGACGTGGTTTTGATGAGAGGATTGTTTTCTCTGGGTACCAGTCGTGCCGTTAACAGCCGAGTTTGGGGTAAATGGATGCTGCAGTGGCGAAGGAGTATAGTTTGTCGTGTACCCATTTGCCAATGTGCCTGGAGTAGATCCTTCCCCCTCGTGACTTGTGCTGGGTTCTGATGTATCAATCGAGTCGCCGTAGTGCACGGACGATGCACTCGATTCCCGGCCGTAGCCCAAGTTACTAAACCCAGGTATAGGTGCGACACCGCCTTTCAGATGTATACTATCATTGGACATTGGCAATGACAACAGATCATCTTGATTCTGATCGAAGAGGTACGAGCCGTCATCGAGCGCGGTAGGATCGGCTGTGGATGCGATGGAGAACATATTGATAAAGATCCGAGGAGGAAAGACGGAGAGGCACCTGACAGGGAAGCCGCTACAGAGCCGCAATCAGCCGTTGGCCGCACAATCGCAGCGATAAGGTTGTAGCGGGTAGCGGGCGACGTTGTATTCTGCAAAGCATGAGGGACCTTGTTGAACTTGTAGCGATGGTGGGAGGGTGCAGACAGGTGATGGACGGATGCCCAGACTTATGGAGGTCAAGGCACGAAAGAAGCGCACCATACCCACCTAGGCAAACTCGGTCGAAACCAACCCGGTCGTTTCTGACTTCAGCCCTCTCCGACTAGCTCAAACATTCCTCCACGCTCCGTCATCGCGATAATGGATCCGTGTAAAGATTCAGATGGTTGATGCACAGCTTGGCGTCAACAAAGTGACTGGTTGGCCGTAGCTGACCCCGCTCGTACGGAAGCGAACATTGCTCCAGCACATCGTGATATAAGCTTCAGCCAACCCTATCAACATTTTCGGAGCCTCCAACGGGAGCGCATTGGGTGCACATGCTATGCGCTTGATGAGTTTGATCGCCAGCCACCTCATTAAATGTAAGGATCTTGCAGTTGGTCTTTTCACGCATGGATGTTTAGACTCGTTCCTGTTTGGATGACAGCTGATGAACTTATGCAGAAACCAACTCTCCTTCGCAAGCCAGCCTCCGTATCAAACCATACTGCGTTTACAACACGTCTAGAAGCCGAATATTGCCACCTATCTAGTGTACACCGATCATTGCCGTTCGCCTTTCCAACCGTTCATCTTGGCACATACCCATCTTCAAAGTAGAGAGAAAGGCATATGAGATATCGCTCATGCCTTATGAAAATATATGTCAGCCAGTACGATCGAATAATCAGTTCCCCATTTGACATGGTGAGATGATGATATAGTGTGAGCTCATACAAGGTAATCGTGTAGGACCTCGGCTCTTGAAGCTCATCTGACAACGAGATTCGACTTATGTGATATACTTCTGCTCCATATGGCATCAAGATACCAAGGTAATCCAGAGTAACCAGTAGCAATCCCGGATTCTTTGCGCATGATATACTTCAATCCTGCCATTTGAACCTGTCCCCTTGGCATACGTTTGCTCTTCACTATTGTATCGGTTTTCTTTTTGGTTCGGCGATGAAACCGCAGACGTGAATTTGTTCATTTTTCCTAATTTCACAACCATTCCAACCTGGCATAAGAAACATCCAATGTTTGGTGGGATAAAATCACGTGCTCAACCACGCTAGCCAATCTCCGTAGGGTTAACGCAGTATCGCTTCAGCCGACCCGTCGGCTTTCGTCGTCTGCCCAGACAAACCCTTTCCCGCGACCTCGCATTCAAGGAAGAAGAAAGATGCGATGGCCCTGGTCAGGCAACGATGATGACGACGAAAAGAAGAACGGCCTTCCTTCATGGACCGCACCAACAACGTCGACCAGTTTTGCAGGGTCATGGACTGAACCGCGGACCCTGATTCCGTCTCTCGCGCTAACAGCATCAATGGTTGCTGCGCTCCGTTTCTACAAGGCCTACCTACGAAGAATACCAACAGTGAACCACATCAAACCAGATTACTTCCGTCGCAGAAGTCTATTTGGCCAAGTCACGAGCGTAGGGGACGCAGATAATTTCAGATTTTACCACACGCCTGGCGGGAGAATAGCAGGATGGGAATGGCTACCTTGGAAGAGGGTGCCGACTACGAAAGAGGCTTTGGCTCAGCAGACAGTGAGTGTCAATCGGGTCCCAAGCCCGAACTGCACTGTCCTGGGCTTACATGGCCATCAGATACATAACTAACTAGACCAACAGCTTCATATACGCATCGCTGGAGTGGACGCGCCTGAACTTGCGCACTGGGGCCGAGAGGCTCAGCCTTTTGCAAAGGAAGCCCAAGACTGGCTCATTGGCCTTATCCACCATCGCCGAGTACGCGCATACATATATAGACGTGATCAGTACGACCGTGTGGTAGCCCAAGTTTATGTGCGCCGATGGTTCTTTAAGAAAGACGTGGGGTTGGAGATGTTAAAGGCGGGATTGGCGACGGTATATGAAGCCAAGTCAGGTGCAGAGTTTGGAACTGCTGAAGACCAGTACCGCGCAGCAGAGAAGAAGGCTCGAGAGGATCAGATTGGAATGTGGGCCAAGCCGAGTCTGAGGCAGCGATTGGGCGGTGTACAGAAGAAAGCATTAGAGAGCCCGCGGGAGTACAAGGCGCGACATGCGGCAGCAGACAAAGCAAAAAAAGCAGGGTGAGATGAGTCTACCGCGAAGAGAACGCGACATGTCCATGTACTAGATACGGGAGGAGATTGGCGCTGCGATCGAGGCAGTCTCACGCATGGCACCGGCTCGATGCTAGCGAGCAGTATTTCGCCGTACTACGGGCCGAGGACTCCACAAAGCTTCTCAAAAAACTTGGAGTCCATCGATGACTGTGCTATTGTAGTTGCAAAATCTGTCAATGTTGTCGGCTAGCTCCACGAGGCCGTCAGGAAATAGTTTAGGGTTGGTCGGGCAACGAATCATGCTAAATGTTCTGGGGGGGAATACGACTACCCATGAAGCGTGTCCGAGTCTCAAAGTAGTAATGCAATGTTGATGCAAGTGTGCCAAGACACACAAGCTAGTACCCGTATGACTGTATTGAGAAAAGTTCTGCAAGACGATGTCAAAATTTCTGCTCATCGGCGCTGTGTGCTAGAGGATGGAGATCGATCTTCGGCGCCGTAATCGGTCCTCCGCATGGAGAGGTTCTTGGTGACAAGACGGGACAATGGAGAGGCGGGTAGGCCGGTAACAGACTGGATCGTGCGTCTTGACTGAGTCACCACGCGTCGACGAGCGAACATTTGAATGCGCAATGTCAGCGTGCAATTGAAGCAATTCACAGCTCCCCTCTCCATTGCGTAGTTGGTGATCGCCGACGGTCTTATCTGAGCGTTATCGGAGATAGCCTGATTGGTCCGTTGCGCATCATTGGATTTTTTTGGCTGCCGCATCGCAGCTTTCCCCACAGATTGTTCATAAACCTTGAGGGAGTCATTTGTGCTCTGGCTCCGCTAGGGTCGAGCTATACTTCTTCAATTCCCCCCGCCGGCCATCGAGCGACTTTTTTCCAGCGCGTGCGTCGCCTTTCTTTGTCGCTCCCACCTACAACGAGCTCACAGCCCTCAAGCCGCTTGTCCGCCTGCAAATGGCTCTCTGCGGGCGTCTAGCACGTCGCGTACCTACCCTCACAGGTCAAACTCGCTCATTGGCATCTTCTGCATGCTCGCGAAACTTCACAACCCGCGCTGCTCGCCCTCTAACTTCTCTCCGCTCCAGCACTGAGTCACCTGCGGTTTACCGGCAACTGCGGGCATTCACAAAGGTCGCATCAACATGGAATAAGACACAGACAGCGCCCAGTGCCGAGGCGTATCTCAAGAGCGGCGTCATTTCTGGCGCACAGGATCTTGTCGACGTAAAGAAAGTCCTGGTCATTGGCAGTGGTGGTCTTAGCATTGGCCAGGCCGGAGAGTTTGACTACTCAGGTGCGCAAACACCACTAAACACAATTACGCGAGAATGACCATATGCTCATTGGATTGCAGGTTCGCAGGCGCTCAAGGCTCTGAGGGAAGCCGGCGTCAAATCCGTGCTGCTCAACCCTAATATTGCTACTATCCAAACATCCCACGTGCTCGCCGATGAAATCTACTACTTGCCTGTAACTCCCGAATACGCCGAATATGTCATCCAGAAGGAGAAGCCCGACGGAATCTTCCTCAGCTTTGGTGGTCAAACTGCATTGAACCTGGGTGTCCAGATGGATGCCAAGGGCATTTTTGAAAAATATGGTGTCAAGGTACTCGGTACTAGCGTCCAGACTCTCAAGACGAGTGAGGACCGTGATCTCTTCGCGCGCGCTTTGGAAGAAATCAACATTCCCATTGCCAAGTCAATTGCCGTCTCCACGGTAGACGAGGCGTTGGATGCTGCTGAAAAGGTCGGGTACCCGATCATTGTTCGTGCTGCATATGCACTGGGTGGTCTTGGTTCTGGTTTCGCAAACAACCCCGAAGAGCTGAAGAACTTGTCAGCTCGTTCGCTCACGCTGTCACCCCAAATCTTGGTCGAGAAGTCTCTCAAGGGCTGGAAGGAGGCTGAATATGAGGTTGTGCGTGATGCAAGCGACAACTGCATTACAGTCTGCAACATGGAAAACTTTGATCCTCTTGGTGTCCACACCGGTGACAGTATTGTCGTATCGCCAAGTCAGACATTCAGCGACGAGGAATACCACATGCTCCGATCTGCGTCCATCAAGATTGTCAGGCATTTGGGAGTTGTTGGAGAGTGCAACGTACAGTACTGCCTGCAGCCAGATGGTCTCGATTACCGTGTCATTGAAGTCAACGCTCGTCTTTCTCGTTCATCTGCACTGGCTTCCAAAGCAACTGGTTACCCTCTAGCTTACACTGCAGCCAAGATTGGTCTTGGACACACGCTTCCTGAACTACCAAATGCCGTCACCAAGACCACAACCGCAAACTTCGAGCCTAGTCTGGACTATGTTGTCACCAAGATGCCTCGATGGGATCTCAGCAAGTTCCAGAATGTCAAGCGCGACATCGGCAGCTCCATGAAGTCGGTCGGTGAGGTTATGGCTATTGGACGTACATTCGAAGAGTCTTTCCAAAAGGCTTGCCGACAAGTCGACCCCAAGTACCTCGGTTTCCAGGGTGAAAAGTACGGCGAGAGCCTCGATGAAGAGCTCAAGAACCCTACTGATCGACGATGGCTTGCTGTTGGTCAAGCTCTGTTCCACGAAGGCTACTCCGTTGATAAGGTTCATGATCTCACTAAGATTGACAAGTGGTTCTTGCACAAGCTCCAGAACATTGTCGACTGCACAAAGGAACTTGAGAACATTGGCAGCCTGTTCGGCCTCAAGAAGGAGATTATCCTCAAGGCCAAGAAGCTTGGTTTCTCTGACAAGCAGATTGCAAAGGCAGTTAACAGCACAGAAGACGAGGTCCGCGCCCGCAGAACCGGCTTTGGAATCAGGCCATGGGTTAAGCGTATTGATACCTTGGCTGCTGAGTTCCCTGCAAACACGAACTACCTTTACACTACGTACAACGCCTCATCGCACGATGTTACCTTTGATGACCATGGTGTCATCGTTCTTGGTAGCGGTGTCTACCGTATTGGAAGCTCTGTCGAGTTCGATTGGTGCGCTGTCAACGCTACCCGCTCCCTCAACGCACTTGGCAAGAAGACTGTCATGATCAACTACAACCCAGAGACCTACAGTACGGATTTCGATGTCGCCGACAAGCTCTACTTCGAAGAGCTCAGCTATGAGCGTGTGATGGATATCTACGAGCTTGAAACCGCCAGCGGAGTTGTCGTCTCTGTCGGTGGTCAGCTTCCCCAGAACATTGCTCTGAAGCTGCAGGAGTCTGGCAAGGCCAAGGTTCTCGGAACCGATCCCGCAGATATCGACAAGGCTGAAGATCGTCACAAGTTCTCTTCTATTCTGGACTCAATTGGTGTAGACCAGCCAGCTTGGAAGGAACTCACTTCTTACGATGATGCAAAGAAGTTTGCAAGCTCTGTTGGGTACCCAGTTCTTGTCCGCCCATCGTACGTCCTTTCTGGTGCCGCCATGACTGTCATCCGTGGTGAGGATGAACTGAAGGAGAAGCTCCTCGCTGCCTCCAACGTGTCACCCGACCACCCAGTCGTCATTACCAAGTTTATTGACGGCGCTCAAGAAATTGACTGCGATGCTGTTGCTTCCAACGGAAATGTCCTTGTTCACGCGGTCAGCGAGCACGTTGAGAACGCTGGTGTTCACTCTGGTGATGCTACCCTTGTACTGCCACCAGTTAACCTTGACAAGCGCATCCAAGAGCGTGTCAAGGAGATTGCCGACAAGGTTGCCAAGGCCTGGAACATCACTGGTCCCTTCAACATGCAAATCATCAAGGAGGAAGTCGAGGGCTCTGAGCCGAACCTCAAGGTCATCGAGTGCAACCTCCGTGCTTCTCGTTCGTTCCCCTTTGTCAGCAAGGTCCTTGGTACCAACTTCATTGATGTTGCCACAAAGGCTCTTGTCGGCCGTGACGTCCCTGAGCCTACTGATCTCATGGCTGTGGAGAGGAACTACCTCGCCACCAAGGTCCCTCAATTCTCCTGGACCAGGTTGGCTGGTGCTGACCCCTACCTTGGCGTAGAGATGTCGTCTACTGGTGAGATGGCCTGCTTTGGTAAGGACCTTGTCGAGGCCTACTGGGCATCTGCGCAATCGCAAATGAACTTCCGCCTCCCCCAGCCTGGTGAGGGTCTCTTGTTCGGTGGTGATGTCACTCCTGGCTCACTACACTCCAACTCTCTGATCCAGATTGCCAAATACGTGCACGCGCTTGGCTACAGGTTCCTTGCTGCCAACAAGGAAGTAAAGGAGCTTCTGGAGAAGAACACAGAGGGCGTCACTGTTGACGTCATCGAGTTCCCCAAGGATGACAAGAGGAAGCTGCGTGAGGTGTTTGAGAAGAACAACATCCGCGGTTGCTTCAACCTGGCCAAGTACAGGGCGAACGGCCTGTTCGACGAGGACTACGTTATGAGGAGGAACGCCGTCGACTTTGGTGTGCCACTGTTTATGGAGCCCAAGGTGAGTCTTTCTGCTTTGTACTGATGAATCTGGAAGCTAACTTGCTGCAGACTGCAGTCCTGTTTGCTCAATGTATGAGCGAGAAGCTACCCAAGAAGGAGGGTATCCCAAGCGAGGTCAGGTCGTGGAGTGACTTCGTTGGTGGCAGGCCACTCTAAACGGATAGCTCAATGCTCAAATCCGACGCGGGGGAAGGAGTGCTGGGGTGTAAGATCTAGCCGAAGCTCGCCCTAATTGGGGTGAATGTCTCATGAAAAGGGGTGGGATAAAAATTATGTTCTAGTGTATACAGCGTTGTCATCATACGGTCAACTGCATTTGCAGTTTGGAGGAGTTGGGATATTCTCTTTACCTCTGGCCCGGTGGAAGTTCTCCATCGCATGTGTGGCTAGGTAACATGAATACTTATGTAGTTCAATCTGAGCTTGTCATGTTTCAGTGATACTCAGCGTTCCCATATATTGTTCAAGGTGGATCATTGGCTGTCACAATTGAATTGTGGATTTAATAGATGGAGCCAGGATAAAGGTTAGAGGGTGCTATTGTGGAGGAGGGTAGTCTGAATATGCCTGTACTGGTTGTGATAACACGCACAAGTCATGTGAGATTATTATGCCAGAGTACCAGGATGACGAGGACTGCTAGGTTCCACTTTGAAAGGGACCTTACCTCCGTGGACAAGTTTAGCATGGCTTCGACGTGTTAGTGTGACAAACTTTGGTATATATAGCGCGGGGTGGGGATCGTAGGGATATGAACACGCAATCTGTAATACTCTATACTGTCTGGCGTGGACCCCGCAGGCAATGCCAAGTATGACATTGAAGACGGAAAGCTGTCTCATTCACGGCTCAATTGGCTGGCGTGACATTCTCCAGCCGCGTCGAGGCATGAATCATGGACGATGATCCTGCAGCGTGGTGGTGCAGGCATACGTCATTAGGAGTGGGGCGAGGGAAACCGGGGAGTCTGTGGAGGGGCACCAGGCGCGTGGGAGCTCCAGCCGCAGCTGCCATTTAGATACCTTGATTTCCTGCTTTTATGAACTCAACTCTCTCTTCTCCTTTTTCACAACTCAATTGAACCTTAACCAGTGCCAACGTTCGATTCTTTTTCACAGTAAGTTGCTTCTCCTCTATGCATCTGTCACGTTGTCTTGCCATTGCCTTGAGACCTACCCCGCAGGCAATTGGGCTGCCCCTGTAGATTCAAACAAACTCAAAATAAGCTGCAAGTATCTCAGATGAACTGGCAAGCTTAATTTGTTCCTTTACACGGCGTGTTTAGACCCTGCCTTACCCGTTCAATCCCTCCCCCTACGCTCTACTGATGCTGAACCAGATCTCCATAATCTGACAATGTCTTACAACAACGATCGCAGCGAGTACGGTCAGCAGTCTGGCCGGTCCCAGGAGGGATACTCCGGGGGCGGCGGAAGCGGCTATGGAGATGACAACAGATCAGGCGGCTATGGTGGCAGCTCGGGACGCAACAATGATAATGACCGCACTTCCGGTGGCTATGGAGGCAGCTCAGGACGTCGCAACTCCAACGATCGCACCTCAGGTGGTTATGGAGGACGCGACAATGACAATGACCGTCCATCTGGCGGTTACGGAAGCTCAGGACGTGACAACGACAACGACCGCCCGTCAGGTAGTTACGGAGGTGGCTCAGGCCGCAATGATGATAATGACCGCCCATCAGGAGGCTACGGCGGCAGCTCAAGACGTGACGATGACAATGACCGTCCCTCCGGCGGTTACGGAGGCAGCTCAGGAGGTAACTATGGAAGCGGCTCAAGACGTGACGACGATAACGATCGCCCGTCTGGAGGCTACGGGGGCAGCTCAGGAGGCAGTCACGGAGGTAACTCAAGACGTGACGATGACAATGACCGTCCATCAGGCGGTTATGGTGGTAGCTCAGGAGGCAACTATGGAGGCAGCTCTAGGCGCGATGATGACAATGACCGCCCATCAGGAGGCTACGGGAGCGGCTCGAGACGTGACGATGACAACGACCGTCCGTCAGGTGGCTACGGAGG